GTGGAATTAAATTAATCTGTAGAATCCTGGGAATTTACTGGCAGTCACCATTTCTCTAATAATCAAGGAAACAAAGATCTAATACATTGAAAGTGATCAAATCTATATTCTAAAATCCAGTATCTTACATATATATGTATCTATAGATATATATCTATAGATACATATATAGATATATATCTATAGATATATATATAGGGAGAGAGAGAGGAGAAAAGCTAACAGACTGAGATCTTTATGAAAAATAGGATTTGAATGGACAGAAGAGAAGTGGGGGAAATAGTATCGATCAACCATCACCATACATCTAATATGTGCTCACGATAAGCAAAGGCATGGGGGGAAATATGAGCATTTGTTTGACTTACTGAGGAGTCCAGAACCACTGTTATGGTGAACACTTTTGTTTATGCACATCCAACAAATTAATCAAAACATATTCAACATCCGATAGAAAGGTAACATAAGAATATCCTTGATTCCAAAGAGGTAGGAGGATATTATATACTATGTGGATCCACTCTTGTATATTAAGGGAATTTAGTTAATGAGATCATCAAGAGCGGCCTTAAAAGAGAAAGATGTTGGAAAAGGGCAGCAATAAACTGGAAGTCGTAGTGCTCTGGTTGCCAGGCAGCCACCTCAGGCCCTCTTTTGTTACCGTGGAGATGTTGGAGAGCTTACTGAAATACTCTTTGAGATAGCATCTGAACTCCATATCCTTTTAGCACCAACTAGTCATGCCACTTCTTTTTCCTCCTCCCTCACATCTCTACCCACACTGTCATAATCTTATGAATTCAGTGAACCTATAAGTGTACTTCCAGTGCCCAATGTCCAAGGCCAAGGAATTATGCTGATTTGCCTATCCAAGGCAAATAAATGAAAGGATAGTTAAATAAATGAGAATATCAAACAAGGTTGTTCAAGTAAAAATAACCAAAATAAAGATACCCAAAACAAGGTTATTCACTAATCATACTGCATATAAAATATCAATTCCTGCCTCCTCCGCTCCCTTTCTCCTTATGTGTTTTAGTCTCCACAACAAGACTGTACCTGGCCCAGAGCAGACATTTAAGAAATATGTGTAGAATGAGTGAATTAGTTAAATATTAATAATGGCAGGGTTTTTTCAAGTCAAGTAATGTGAAGAAGCTTTACTAAAGGAGCCTGACTACTGTTATCCCCAGTGGCCTTAAACAGTGGCTGTCTCATAGTAGGGACTTCATAAATAATAAATAAATAATGATGAAATAAAGAGTAAAGGGAGATTAATATAATCAAAACAAGCCTATAACCATCTTTAAAATGTAGTAACGACAATTACTACATTCTGTGTATACTGGCACATCTGGGTACACATAACAAATATTTTATTTTCAATTCTGACTTCTTATCAACTTTTCCACTTTACATTCATTCCATATGCATTCCTTACAGTTTAGAAACGTAGTTTCCGAAATTCTATATCCGAGTTTTATGTTAAGCCAGGTATTATATAAAACATAAATACATTTTAAGAAGTATAATCTAAAGGCAGCTCTTTACCAAGCCAGTTTCTATAATTTTCTGTTTTCATTTGCACTTAATCACTAATTCACCCATCCTGCACTCAGGGAGCCACCACTACAGTTATGCTAATGCTAACAGCAATCACTACTAACGTTTATGGGGTACTTTTTGTTCTAGGGACTGTCCTGAAGGCTGTGCATATATTGTCTGGTTTCGTCTATACTACAGGAGATCTATGTTATCATAGTCATGTATATAAACCAACTCTTATTTACTTCCTGTTGCTGGTCCAAGGCCAAAACTCCCAAAACCCCCAAAACCCCCGAGCTATGATTACTTGCATTCCGCTTCCAGTCACTTTCTCTTTTCCATTGCCTCTCGGCACTCTCCTCTTTAGAAGAGCTACGAGTGCTCCTCCTCCTCCCTCTTGTTGCACTTTGGGAACCATGGCAACCAAGGCTTTTCCCCTTATTCCTCCCCTGGCAAACCCGCTAGCACCCGGTCCGAGAACCTGCTACGTAACCACGTGTGCGATGCTTAGTAACCGCGTCTGAAGAGCGCCAAGCGGGGGGCGGGGCGAGAGAGCTGAAGCGCGCGCGCGGAAACTCATTGCAGCCTGGATAGGAGCGGAGTCTTTCTAGTCCGCGGGGGTTGAGTAGCGTTCGCCACTCGAGCACGCGCGGTTTCGTAGTTTCTCAGTTTTGGACGGGGCACACTAGCTTTTGGGAGTGAAGAGGCTACGCAATATCCTCGCAATGTCTGGTGAGTTAGAGCAGCCTCAGGCCGGCCCCTCACGTGCTGGGCTGAACCTGCCGAACCCTGAGAGAAATCAGACTGGAGTCCCGGGAGAAGTGATCAGAAGGGCCAGGACCCAAGGGCCCACGTCCTGGATCCAAAAGGTTCTTGAGCAAATAACGGACTCACCTCTCCAGTCGGTCACCCCCTCGGAGGTGGTGCCTGTCGCTGTGCTGGCGGTCCAAAGGTACCTTTTAGAGGATGAGCCACGCGACAGGATACCCAAACCTCCCTTTTACTGCTATGACGTGACGATCTCGGACGGGGTGTACCAGGAGAAGTGCTACCTAGACCCCAGCCTGAACTTTCTCGTATATAAGAATATTCTTAAAGTTGGCATAGAAATGAAAATTTTCAGAGTCTCGTGTCTTTACAACGAGAAAAGGTTAGGCCAGGGAATCCTGTGCATAGATAACGTCCACTGTGGGGGGACTTTGGACACTATTTCTGTAGAAACTCCCTTCAGAAATAGTGCGCACGAGGAGATACCAGAGAGGCCTTTAAGGGGCGGGAAGAGTCACTACCTGGCCCTGTGGAATAATGAAGATCCGTATGGAGATATCTGGTTAACCAACAAGCAACCTGAGGAACACAATTTCAATAGTAAGTAATTGGAGGGAAAGACGGAGGGATTAAAAAATAGTTTGGGGGAGCTTGCGATAATGGGAAAGGAAACGAAAGTGCTTTGGTATTGTTCATTAGGAATGATAGTAGACAATTTTTCACGAGTGACAGAGATTCTCACTTAATAAAATTTGCACAGCCCGTGTCTTGCTTTAAATGTATAAAGTGGCCATTCAGAAAGGATCTGAATACATCTTAAATTTTATCTGGCAAACATACTGGTGTTGTAGTCAGCATTCATCATGTGTTCGTTATACTTTTTACTTCAGTGGAATTAGTCTTAATTTCATTCCTATTTCAGTTGTGGAAATAATACTTTCTGTGTTGGTTGAAGAGTGTATAGGTTTGAAATCCGCATAAAAGTTATAAACATTTGTGGGTTTGCGTGTTTTAACCTTCATTCAAAAAAGGATGTTTTGTGATTTATTCCTTAATAATTTATACTAATGAAACGCCATTTTTATGTCTGAGTGTAGCAGTTATGTAAATATAGCTATTTGAATGGATGATGTTGTGGGAAGGCTTGGAATTCTAATCTTTTTGTTTCTTATTACCTGTCAATACTGATCTGAGTTCAATTTTTCTGTATCAGAAGTTGGAAGTTAACCTGAAAATGCCAGCTAGTCATCAGCAACTGCTCTAAAATATATTTTGCCTATCAAGAAATGGGATCAGGGGAATGATAGTACTATAGGCATGTATGTGTATGAAGTGGGGAAGAAATAAAATGCAAAAAATAAAGTGAAACTGCTGGTGGGAGAAAGATAATTTTCTACAATTACTGCTTTTCAGGGTTTTTTTAAACATTGCAGTCATAATTCTAGACTATAAATAATCTTACTATGACATGTAAAAGCAACAAACTTGAAAATGAAGATAACTGAGTCAAAAATATGCAATTAAAATAATATCCAGTCATAAGGGGAAAAAGATGTTATAGAGATGTGTAAGCGAAGGATGATTTAAATAATATATGCTTTAAAAAAGATAATAATTTCAGGGACGAAATAATGGAATGATTTTTTTATTTCAAGTGCAGAATAAGACAGCAGTGCATTACTACTCTATGTGCTGATCATTTCTATTTTTAGAATTGAATATATAAATGAAAATTTGGTGCTCTAGAAGAATTAAGAGGGGAATAATCATAAAAATATTTTTTTATTTTTTCGGATTATGAAAGTAATATCTATTCATTATTGAAACCATATTTTTATTACAAAAAGCAATGTCCATGTGCTAAAAATTCCGAAAGTTTAGAAAAGTGAATTGTATTAAAAATGTAAGACCCAAGTATAGTAAAATTTTGATGACGAAATTTAGAAGTGAATATAATGGTGTTCTTTCAGGATTGCTGTTTGAAATTTTTAATAATAAAATATTGGGGTGGAGTGAAAGATCCCTTTTACCTTCTCCTATGCCTTCAGCTTTCTTCTCAAAACTCCAACAAACTGTCAGCCGTTTATCTTTGAAAAAAATGAATTATATGGTGTTGCATGATTTGCTTTTTCCACTTATCTTAAGCATCTTTAATGTTCATTCACTCATCCATGGTATGGACGTATGATGATTTATATAATCATTCCCATGTGAATAGGTAATTCATAATTTTAGGCAGTTACTGTTTATCTGTGTTAGATCCAGGGCTAAACATCATTAGGATATGCACATATTTGTTCACTATGTTTAAGTATTTCTCTTGAATGGTTGGATTTCTGGAAGTGAAATTGCTGGTTTAAAGAGTATTTGAATTTTTAAGGATGTTATTTCTTTATTAATTTTCTGTTTGATTTTATTTTTATTTAATGGATATTGACAAATCATCTTCTGAAAAGATTGTACTAATTTACATTCCAAGGGCTATATATATATATATATACACACACACACATACATATACACACACACACACACACATATATTTATTTATATTTATATATACATATAATTTATATATATGCAATTATATATGCATATAATTTTCTAATTGAAAAGATTTCTTTACTAATGGATATTAAGTTTTCATCTGCTGTATTTTGTAAATTATTATCTCATACTCTGTCCCTTTTCTTTTTGTTTATGGTGCATTTTTTGTGCTTTTAAAACTTTTCTATTAAGGATAATGTGTACATGGTAAAGTGACAAGTCTTAAAAATAGTTTGATAAATGTTTACATATCTTTATCTATATATATCTATATTTAAATACATATTTAAATAGTTCTTTTCTAACATATTTTATGTACTCGAGGATTCACTAACGATGAGAAGGAACTTTCCATAAATACGAAAAAGCAGGAGCAAAGTAACTGAAGAAGAGAAGAGCTTGGAGGTTTGAGGATCAAAAAGAAGCATAGTATTGCTGAAACAAAATGGTGTAGGAGAGGAGTTAGAGAAGTGAGTAAGGGGATTCTAAGGGCATGTATATCCATGTAACCATACCCCCAGATCAAGATCTAGAACATTTTCTGCTCCCCAAAAGGCTCCCTCATGCATTCTCCTGGTCGATACCCAACTCTGAAGGTAACCAATATTGTTATCTCAAAGACAGCTTTTTAAAATGGAAATTACATCATCCCACTTTCCTGCCTGAATCTCTCCAGTGGCTCCATTTTGCAACTAGATGAAAATCCAGACCTCCTACCAGGGCCCACAAGGCCCTACAATCTGTAAAGAGCCAGATCTATAAATCTTTTTGTCTTTGCCAGTCATAAAGTCTTTGTCATAGCTATTCAACTTTGCCTCCATATAGCCAAAGCAGCTGTAGACAATATGTAAATGAATGGGTTTGACTGTGTTAAGATAGAACTTTATTTACAAAAAGAGACAGCAAGCCCTTACTCCTCTAACTCCTCTCCTCCACTATTTTTTTTCAGCAATACCATACTTCTTTTTGATCCTCAAACCTCCAAACTCTTCCCTGCCTCAGGTACTTTGCTCCTGCTGTTTCATATTTCTGGAGAGTTCCTTCCATCCTCAGTGAATCCTCAAGTATATAAAATATGTTAGAAAAGAGCTATTTAAATATGTATTTCCTACCCATTTGTTGTTATTACATCATCACACATAAGATTGATAACACTGTGAAATTATTTTTGTTTTATTCTTTGTCCTCCCATTAGTTTATAAGATCCATGAGGGCAAGGGCTCTGGTTTTTGACTGTTTGTGGGCCACTTCCCCTATACCCAGAACAATGTCTGGCACAAAGTAGTCATTTAGTAAATATTTATTGCATAAAAGAATGAGCGAAATAGATTACATTAATGGATTTTCTAATGTTGAATCACTTTTATATCTCTACTTGGTTGTGGTTGTTATTTTTACTCTGTATATTCAAGTGAATTTAGTCCATGGGTTTTGTTGCTTTTTTTAGGGGTGAACTATTTCAGTCCAATTTTGTTATCAGGTTAATTAATATTAGCCTAGTAGAATGAATTGGGAAACTTTCCCATTTTTCTGTGTTTACAGAAATCATGTGTTCATCGAAGGTTTGGTAGAATTTACTCTTAATAGTATTTGAATCTGGGGCCTTGGTCCAGAATTGGGGTTTGGGAGAATGACTCCCTATCAATTTCTTATGTAAAAAAAAGTAATAAAACCAATTATGCTTCTTGAGTCCATTTTTGAGAGTTGATATTTCACTTGGAAATCTCACTTCACCTAGATCTGAATGTTGTGCATAGTAGTCTACATTTTTTATCTGTCTTAGTTACATCGCCTTTTACATTCCTAATTTTTTTGTATTCACCCTTTTTCATTACCGACCTTGCCAGAGGTTTGTCTATTTTATTAGTATTCAAAAAAAAAAAAAAAAAGACTCTCGGCTTTACTAATTAAGAAGACTATAGTGGAGAGATGATACCTGCTATCATCTTTAATTCCTTTCCTTCTTTTCATGATATTTTTGTGCTACTTTCTTGAGTTGAATGTATGGTTCATTTATTTCCTTGTTTAGTTCTTCCAAAAGCCTTTAAAATTCTGAAATTCCCTATGGGTACTGCTTTGGCTTCATCCCCGCAGGTTTTGAAATATAGAGTTTTTCTTGTAACTCATTAGTTATATTTTGTGATTTTAACTTTGATTTCCCATTTAGCCCCCAGAAGTTTAGAAAAAGCTTATTTATTAGATATGAAGTTTCTTATTGTACCAAGTTTTTCAATTTTAATTAAAATATTTCATATTCTTATTTTCAATCTATTTTATTTGCCCACTTCTCGGAGAGAAATACTGGCTTCTCTATGATGGTGGTTTTGTTCATTTCTCCTTATATTTCTCCTTGTATATTCTGATTTAGATATTGCTATAATGTGTAAAGTTTTATAAGTTATTAATATCTTTACTCTTTGCCAATATGGGATTTGTCTCTGTGTCCCTTTTTGCCTTGAATTGTATTTTGTCTGATTGTACAATTTACTATTTCTGCTATCTTTAATTAGCATTTAAGGCAGTGGTTCTCAAACATGAGTGGACATCCATATCACCTCAAAAGTGTTTTAAAATGCAGATTGCTGTACCCCATCACTAGTTTCTGATTCAGTATGTCTGTGATAGGGCCCTAGAATTTACATTTCTAACAAGTTCACTGGTGGTAATGATGCTGCTGGTGCAAAGACCACACTTTGAGAATCACTGGCCTAGTGTGTGTATCTTCGTCCATCCCTTTATTTACATTTTTTGTTATGTTTTTCTCTTTTAAGAAACATATAGATAAGATTTTGCTTTTTGACCCAAATCAATTATTTTTCTTTAAGAGGTGAATTTAATACAATTAAATTTAATGTGATTATGATGTTTGTACCTGATCTTAGAATCCTGCTTTATGTTTACTATATGTCATGCTTTTTTTTTAACTTTTGCAGAATTAAATTTTTTTTTCCATCTAGTGCTTTAGAAGTTATACATTATATTTGTGTTCTCCTAGTGGTTAACCTTAATGTTTTAATGAAATTATTTAAACTTACATTTTTGTGTCAATCTCCAGAATTATTCAGAATTTATAATAACCTGTTCCTAATTAAGACAGGATGTTTTAGAAATCTATTTGATCATGATGAAATTTGACATGCTGCTATATGGGATTTAAAAGTATTTAGGATTTTTGCTATCATAAATTATTTGGGTTCAATGTGACATTGAAGCAGACAGAATGACAAAGAAAATACAAGTATCCAGCTGTCTTCTGTTTTCTCTTATGTATAATTTCTGTTATAATTTGTCATAATTTATCTAAGTTTATAAAATGAATTGGTACAATTCTGTATTTTAATGTGCCTTTTAAAAGTGTTGGAATTTTCTTGTAAAACCATATGAACCTGGGGCCATTTTCAGAGGTCATTATTTGTGAACTTTTTCACTTTCTGTTATGGTTATCTACCTATTCCAGTTTTCTTCTGCTTCTTAAGGCAATATTGGTAATGCACACTTTCCTAAAAGATTATCTATTTCATTGACATTTTCAAGTTTAGAGATATATAATAATCTTTTTAAAAGTTTTCTCTATGTTTACAGTTGATCAAATTCTAAATATTGCACTTGATTGCACTTGTCAAAGGTCTACCTTTTTTCTTAATTTTTCAAGGGAATTAGATTTACCAGTTCTACGGTTTCCTAATTTTTTTTCAGCTTTTATCTGTATCCCTTTTTGCATTCCTTATATTTATTCTTTTGCAGCATTTTTCAATGTATGGTTCAAGGATCACTAGGGATGTCCCCAAGACCTTTTCAGGGAATTCACAACATCAAAACTATTTTCATAGTAATACTACTAAGATCTTATTTACCTTTTTTCACTCTCATTCTCTCGAAAATATATAGTGAAGTTTTCCAGAGGCTACACGACATGTGACATTGAAGCAGACAGAATGACAAAGAAAATATGAGTATCCAGCTGTCTTCCATTAAGCTAGACAATAAGGAAATTTGTAAAAATGTAAAACAATGCCCCTCTTCTCACTACATTTCTTTGTTTTGGAAAATATGGTCATTGATTTCAAAAAATACATGTTCATATGATAATAATAGGTTTATTGTTAAAGGGGACTAATGAATAATTTTTATTTCTTAATTTTTATAATATGGTAAATATTGATGGATATTATCTACAGAAACAAAAGCTTTTGAGATCTTCAGTAGTTTTTAAGACTGTAAAGGGGTTCTGAGACCAAAATGTTTGAGAATCACTCTTCTATTGTTTACTAACTTTTATATTGAATATCTAGTTTGTTTTCATTCATTCTTTTGCTGTGAATTTACAGATTCCCCATTATCTATGTATAGCCCGTAGTTTCTTTTTGGATTTGAGAGATATATGTATGCTATAAAATTTATGAGTAAAAAATCCCAAATTGGGAGAACAGTAACCGGCCAGATGTCTGATCACAGCTAACTCTCTGGACCTAATTATAGCAGAAATAATGGCTCTTAGAACTCTGTTTTACAAAACCATGTAGCTCTCGAATTTATTCCAGCGGATAAGGGAGGCGTATGTGCCTTCTCTGTTCACAAGTATTCCACATGCATTCCAGATAATTCAGAGCTGATCCATGATTTGACCATATTAAAAAGAAAATCACTTAATTACATCAGGTCAAATATTAGGACCTGTGATCCTGGGTTAGTAATGTATAGGGAGAATCTATAAGGAAAATTACACTAGAAATTCTAATATTAAAAATAGTGTTTTTTTTTTAATGGTACAGGTATTATGATAAAATACCATTTAAACTCATACTGAAAAGAAATTACAAGTATGATTTTCATGCCAAAATGTTAAGTAAGTGATACATTATGTAAATAAAAATGGAAATGGAGACTGCCTTAGTGAAATAAATATTGAAACAAATAAAAATTCAGATTTTATAAGTTGAGACTGGGCTATTAGAGAGCAAAATGTGGAGAGAATTGAAGGTGGAACCTTTCTTAAGTGAACAAAGAATAAAATCAGAAATACAAGTTAATCTTTTAAAGATGGCAAATAGCTTTTAAGTAGTTTTTGTACTTGCTAGCAGGCTTGGAGATTAAAACATTTCAAAGTAAATTATATGGCATAAGAAGATAATAAGTGCTATGTAAAAAGAAAAAATGGAATAGGGGGAAAGTAAAGGGATCAGTCTTTAATAGGGTGGTTAGGGATAACATCACTGAGAAAGTGGCCTTTGAGCAAAACTTGGAGAGGGGGAAGGAAGTCACTTGGGTATCTAAGAGAAAGACATTCCAGACAGAGGGAGTAGCAAGTGCAAAGACCCTGATACTGGACCATGTCTGGCATGTTTGGGAAAGATAGAACTTATACATAACAGAAGGTGAGGACAATACAGAAATATATCATAAAACAATTCTATAAATTAAATATGTAAGTGCTTCATAGTGGGAAAATCCATGGCATCGAGTGTTTTCCACAAATTTCTTGAGGGAGGTGAGTTTAGATCCAAGTCTTCTAGGCAGTAATTACACATTTTGACAGGGTGACAGGCATTCTAGATGGAACAATGTGTTAGTTAATATAGGTATTTACCTATGTTACAGGTGCATAGAAAGTCATGTCTATATGTGCCATTATTATTAGGCATAGTGTGTATTACTAAGTTTTATATGTAAGAAGAGACAGGCAAAAAGGAGTTACTTTGGGTATGATCTGGCTACCATTTTTAACCATGAAAATAGAATTTTAAAATTACCATGACATATTAAGGAAGATTTTTTTTTTGTATTCTAGATACCAGAATAATTTCCCTTTCTCACCTTGAAATGACCTGGAATAACAGAAAGAATTTTCCTGCTTTGCTTGTGAGAATCTTGCACAAATCAAGACTGCGATACTATGGAAAACCTGATAAAAAAATGATTGAGCCATACCAGGTATAAGTAATGATAATATATTATATGTTAATTTAACAGCTGTAGCTTATAACTTACAGACATGACTCCATATTAGGATACTTTATGTTTAAATAACATAAGTTCAATTTAATAATTTTAAAAAAATGTACATAAATTTATATTTCAAGGTATTTTTCTATGTAATTTTTTATATAAAAATATTTTTTTCAATGTTAGCAACTTTTAATTTCCTGATCCAGCTGGTCTTCTTCACACTTTTTTATATATTTTCAACTATTTCTCCTCTACTCTTCTACGCCAGCATATAAACATATTCTGCTCTTCCATTTTAAAAAAGGAAAAAAAATAAATATCTTTTGACCTCAGGACCCCTCTATTTCTTGTTTCCTTCTCTTCAGGCAAGCTACTTAAAGAAGTAGTCTACACTAGATGGTTTCACTTTCTTGCCTCCCATTTACCTCTCAACAAATTAGTCTGGCGTTTCTCTTCAACTGATCACTCACTAGAGACCTTGTAATTGTCAAATCTATTTGACACATTTCTGTTATCTTTTTCAAATTAATTATTTATTAATTGAAGAAATGATTTAAATTTTTCCCCGTCTACTTCCCACTTACCCCCTCCCCACTACCATCTGGTAACCACTAGTCCATTGTCCATGTCCATGAGTCTCTGTTTGTTTGTCCTGCTCATTTTTTGCTTTTATGTTTATATCCCACATATAAGTGAAATCATGTGATGTTCAACTTTTTCTGCCTGCCTTATTTCGCTTAGTATGATTATTTCAAAGTCCATCCATGTTGTCAAAAATGGCAGTATTTCATCTCTTCTTATGGCTGAGGAATATTCCACTATATATATGTACCACAGCTTCTTTTTTCCAATCATCTATCATAGGACACTTTGGTTGCTTCCATGTGCTGGGCAC